ACCTTCTCCGCTTAGAAATGCAAGCTCCTACATTAGACCAGAGTGCATTTGCACAGCTAAATTTGTATACCTTCTGCACCTGTTCATAGAAATGACTGGTTCTGATAGTAGTAATAATAATTATCTATCTATCTATCTATCTATCTATCTATCTATCTATCCATCTATCCATCTATCCATCCATCCATCCATCCATCCATCCATCCATCCATCCATCCATCCATCCATCCATCTATCTATAAATGCTCTGTGCATAATGAGTACCTTAAAAACAAAAGAACCAATGAATGAAATCACACCAAATTTGGCAACAAAATGTCTCACAACACAAGGAGTGACCATCACTCAAATAATTATGATTTTGTCATTTGGGAGTTGTAGTTGCTGGGATTTATAGTTCACCTACAATCAAAGAGCATTCTAAACTCCACCAACTATGGAATTGAATCAAACTTGGCACACAGAACTCCCATGACCAACAGAAAATACTTAAAGGATTTGGTGGGCACTGACATTGAATTTTGGGGGCTGTAGTTCACCTCCATCCAGTGAACACTGTGGACTCAAACAATGATGGATCTGGACCAAACTTGGCACGAATACTCAATATGCCCAAATGTGAACACAGATGGAGTTTGGGGAAAATACACCTTGACATTTGGGAGTTGTAGTTACTAGGGTGTATAGTTCACCTACAATCAAAGAGGATTCTGAACCCCACCAACGATGGAATTGGGCCAAACCTCCCACACAGAACCCCCATGACCAACAGAAAATACTGTGTTTTCTGGTGGTCTTTGGTGACCCTTCTAACACCCTCCCTGGTGACCCCACCCCCCACCCCGGGATCTTGACTTCCCAGGTTGAGAAATGCTGCCTTAAGGCCATCCAGTCCAACTCCCTTCTCCAGGGCAAGAAAACATAATCAAAGCCCTCCTGACAAAGGGCCATCCAGCCATTCACACACACACAGATATGTACATGACAGATGCAGTATCAAAGATTGGAAAGGGACCCCTAAAGAAGGACAATGATATGTTGCATGTTCCAGAGTAGGCAAACTACACAATCTCCACATCAACACTGGCAAAGAAACAGCAAGAAATACTGTTTACCCACAAGCATAAACACATTGCATATATTAGAAACCAACACTTTCTCATTTATTTTCCAGATCACCAGCCTAGGCCACAGCAACACGTGGCAGGGGACTGCTAGTAATAATATAATTATAATTATAATGGACTGCACTTAAACACAATCGGTGCTGACAAAATTACCATCTGTCAGCTGCAAAAGGCCACCCTACTGGGATCTGCATACATTATTCGCCAATACATCGCACAGTCCTAGACACTTGGGAATAATGATCATCATCATCATCATCATCATCATCATCATCATCATCATCTTTGTACCCCGCCACCATCTCCCCAAAGGGACTCAGCACTCCAAGTGCCACATGCAGACAACAATACATAAGTATAAATACAATGACATAAGTATAATCTATAGTCAGGCATGTAGCCTCGGGGGGCTTCAGCCCCCCCCCCCCCCGAAATTCTCATGGTGGTTCGCGAAAAGGCCTTACTGGTGCATTATTTAAACTGTTATGTTTATTCATATCATGATCTGATCACCATACTCAATATATCCCATATGCATGGGGGTATTGGGGTAATGATACAAAATGTTTGCTAGGCTAGACCCTCTTTCACTCAGACTCACCCCCCCCCCCCGAAACTCAGCCCCCCGAACCCCCCCTGAAAAAAATTCAGCCCCCCCCCCCCGAAACGAAATCCTGGCTACGGGGCTGTCTATAGTACATAAAAATCTCATTGATAAAATTATAAAAATATGAAAATTATAATAGCAGTGCCTTAGTGATATCCCACGCAACTAATGTATACTGTGTGGAACACTTTGAGGAATATTCAGAAGCTTCAGCTGGTTTAAAAACCTACTGACCAAGTTTAGTTATAGGGAGCATGCTACTCCTTTTTTATAACAGCTTCACTGTCTGCCAATCTGTTTCCAGGTATAATTTAAGGTTGCAGTTGTGACCTATAAAGAGGTTTACAACTTGAGTCCATGTGAACTGAAGGACTATATCTTTCCATAGGAGCCTCACAAATGGAAGTGGAAGCACTGTTTAGTAGGAGGACCTGTCTACACTCTAGAATTCTTAAGTATAGGCTGGCTCCCTGTTTGCTGTCTGTATTGTCAAATATATTCCAGGAGACACTGGGTACTGATGATTTTATACAATGGGTTTTCTGTACTAGTGCTGTACTTAAAAAAAAAAGGGTACTGTTCCATTATCTGAGCAGAGGCCACAAGGGGCGCTAGACAGAGAATTATAGTCTATTTTACCTGGGGGGAGGTTGAAGGAAAAAAACAATTTCCCCCTGTTTTCCTGTTATTTCCCCCTACCTATATCTTATTGTGGAAACAACCCTTTATAAAATGAGACTGAGGAGGGAATAACCAGTGAAAACGTGGGGAATGGGTTTCCTCTAGGCTTGGGTAACAATGGAAAAATTTGTTTCTAAACTCGTTTTGTTTTTAGGGGTCCATCGTGTTTCGTTTTTTTAAAGAATTCCGAAATTTTCCTTTTAAAAATTTCAAAATTTACGAAATTTCGTAAAATTACGAATCAATTCGTTAATGGCGGACGTAATTGTGCAATATGCTAAAAAAACCTCCAAATGGGACAGGGGGAACTTCTGAAGCTTCCCTCTCCCTCTGTTGTAGACTGTTGGTGTGATAAAACAAACAACAACTATAAAACTTGCACCAGACATGCGAAAATAATTACGAAATAATTACGAAATAATTACGAAATAAATTGAAAAATTTGTTTCGAATCTAATTTACTCCTCACACTATTCCTGCATGGCTCAATATTGGATCGTAAGCTAATTTAAATACGAATTAATAACGAATTACGAAATTAACAAACGAAACCGCCCACGCCTAGTTTCCTCCTTCAACTCCACCCCCCCCCCATAAAATGGACTATTCCTCTCTGTCTAGTGCCCTCTTGTGGCCTCCACCCAGATAATGGAAGAGTACCAAAATACTGTATGTGTGCTTAAATTGTTTCATATAGCTTTATGTTGTTGTTGTTGTTGTTTCAGGAGCGACCTGAGAAACTGCAAGTCGCTTCTGGTGTGAGAGAATTGGCTGTCTGCAAGGACGTTGCCCAGGGGACGCCCGGATGATTTGATATTTTTATCATCCTTGTGGGAGGCTTCTCTCGTGTCCCCGCATGAGGAGCTGGAGCTGATGGAGCTCATTCGCCCTCCCCGGATTCGAACCTGTGGCCTGTTGGTCTTCAGTCCTGCCGGCACAGGGGTTCAACCCACTGCGCCACAGGGGGCTCCGTTCATATAGCTTAGATACTATAAATTTTAATATTATTTTGATCTTTACAGTTTCTTTGTTTTTAGCTATTTGTGGTCTAACTGGAATCTCCTTTTATACTCTGGAAAAAATCTGAGTCTCATGTTTGGAAAAAGACAGGATATAAATAAAGTGATTGATCAGTTGATTGATAATAAAAACAGCCAGACCAGCCTGGCCATTGGTCAAACTAGTATTCAATCAAAATGGGGCCGGGCTTTAGCACAGCAGGTTAAACACCACCTGCAGGAAATCTTGCAAACTGCTCTGAGTCCCTTCGGGGAGAAAGGACAAGATAATAATAATAATAATAATAATAATAATAATAATATGCTAGTGATGTCACTGTTGGGCTGTGTGTGTGCATGTATGTGTATGTGGGTATGTGTGTGCGTGTTTGAATATATATGTGTGTGTGTGTGTGTATATATATATTATTATTATTATTTATTATTTATTAACGGCATTTATATGCCACCCTTCTCACCCCGAAGGGTACTCAGGGCAGCTTACAAGATATATTTTCATACAATATATTATATGATTAGCATAGTAAAATATCAGTATTATATATTACTATACAATTGCACTATACAATTATATTGTAATATTATTATTTTTTTATTTTAATTGCTTGTATTGTTGTTATTATTGAGTGTATTGTTGTATTTGGGCTCTGCCTCATGTAAGCCGCAATGGAGTCCCTTGGGGAGATGGTAGTGGGGTACAAATAAAGTGTTATTAGTATACACACGCACACACAGAATTGATTTTGTCAAATTTTCTGGCATTGTAAGCTACAATATTGACACCTCATCTTGTAAGGGAGGAGATCCACGAAGTGACACCAGGAATTACCCACACCAGGTGACACCAACCCTATTGACATTGTTGTTCTTGCTGGTTTGTAGATATAGATAATATTCAGGGCCCTCCCACACAGCCCTATATTCCAGAATATCAAGACAGAAAATCCCACAATATCTGCTTTGAACTGAGTTATCTGAGTCCACACTCAGATAATGTGGGATTTTCTGCCTTGATATTCTGGGATACAGGGCTGTGTGGAAGGGCCGATAGAGCTTCTGACTTTGTCCAATTTTCTGGCGTTTTAGCCACAATATTAAGAACAGGCCTTATATGGGAGGAAGTAAACACTATCAATTACTGCACCAGGTGACACCAACTCTAGTGACATCACTGTTCCTGCTGAGATAGAAAGATAAATATCAGCAGCAATGGTGTGCATCTATCTATCTATCTATCTATATCTATCTGGCATTTCGGCTACAATCTGGAGAGCTGGTGTTGCAAGGGAGGAGGTCCATGGAGGGGGTGGTGGTGGCAGACTATCCATCCCAGCACCAGGTGACACCAGCCCACTGCTGAGCTCCTCCATCCTCCCTCTTCTCTGTCTACAAGCCAGTGCCCTTTCTCCCCTTGCATCCTTGCCTTCCAAAACCTGGACCTGACTCCAGCAACTACATTTCCCAGCCGCCTCCAGCGAGGCGGGGTTGTGTGTGGGGTTTCTTTGGAGGGGGGAGGATTTGACAGCAAGGGAGGGAGGGACGGAGGGAGGGAGGGGAGGGGGCTGTGGAGAAGAGAAAAAGGCGGAGCTGGGAGCCGCGGAGAACGAAGGCAAGGCACCCAATGCGGTAAAAGCTCTGGAAGCCCACAGAAGGGAAGCAGGCAGGCAGGCAGGCTGGCGGGCGGGCACACAATGCAGCACTGAGGCGGCGGCGGCTGGAGGAGGCGAAGATGATGCACGTCTCCGGCTAAAGGAGGAAAGGTGGCCCCCCGTCCAGACATGCTGCTCCCTTGGATGCTCTGCGCCCTTCTGGAGGTGGGCTCCGGCCGTGCAGGTGAGTCAGTCCACAGCGGGAAGAGGGGAGGGAGGAAGGAGACCCCCGGCACGTGTGAAGGTGGAAAGCGGGCAGCCTTGCGGGTCGGGTCGCCCCTCCTTGGCCTGGGTGACCCTCGCTCCGGGCTGCGCACGCATCCCCAGCCACCCCTTTCCTGCCTGCACCTGTGGGTGCAAAGACACGCGTGTTTCAGAAGGGACAGCCCCTCCGTCGCGGGCGTGCAAGCATCCCTGCCCTTGCATGTACATGTAAACATATTTCCATTTCATCAATCCAACCCTTCCCTGCAGTGCATGGAGGGATTTCCCCCCCTCCCCCCCCCCCCCCCCTCTAATGCCAATGCAACCTTCCTTGCGGAGTATGGAAGGATTTCCTTCCCTTCCATTCCCTTCTCTCTCTCTCTCTCTCTAATACCAATGCAACCTTCCTTGCAGAGTATGGAAGGATTTCCTTCCCTTGCCTTCTCCCTCTCTCTCTCTTTCTCTCTCTAATGCCAATGCAACCATCCTTACAGAGTATGGAAGGATTTCCTTCCCTTCTCTCTCTCACTATCTCTCTCTAATAATAATAATAACAACAACAACAAAGACTCTGGCACAAACCAGTAAGGTGGTCCCAGTGGTGATCGGCACACTGGGTGCAGTGCCTAAAGACCTTGGCCTGCACTTAAACACAATCGGCACTGACAAGATTACCATCTGCCAGCTGCAGAAGGCCACCCTACTGGGATATGCACACATTATTTGCCAATACATCACACAGTCCTAGACACTTGGGAAGTGTGCAACGTGTGATCCAATATAACACCCAGCAGAGTGTCTGCTGTGGACTCATCTTGTTGTGTTTCAAATAATAACAATAACAATAATAAATGATTCTGGCACAAGCCAGTAAAGGTGGTCCCAGTGGTGATCGGCACACTGGGTGCAGTGCCTAAAGACCTTGGCCTGCACTTAAACACAATCGGCGCTGACAAGATTACCATCTGCCAGCTGCCTTACTGGGATCTGCATGCATTATTTGCCGATACATCACACAGTCCTAGACACTTGGGAAGTGTCCGATGTGTGATCCAATACAACAGCCAGAATAGTGATCTTGTCTGCTGTGGACTCATCTTGTTGTGTTTAAAATAATAATAATAATAATAATAATAATAATAATAATAATAAATGTCAGTGCAAATTTCCTTGCAGAGCCTGGAAAGATTTTCTTCTCTTCTCTCTCTAATACTACCAACAACAACAACAACAACAACAATAAATGTCAGTGCAACCTTCCTTGCAGAGCCTGGAAGAATTTCATTCCCTTCTCTCTCTCTCTAGAAATAATAATAATAATAATAATAATAATAATAATAATAATAATAATAATAAATGTCAGTGCAACCTTCCTTGCAGAGCCTGGAAGGATTTCATTCCCTTCTCTCTCTCTCTAGAAGTAATAATAATAATAATAATAATAATAATAATAAATGTCAGTGCAACCTTCCTTGCAGAGCCTGGAAGGATTTCATTCCCTTCTCTCTCTCTCTAGAAGTAATAATAATAATAATAATAATAATAATAATAATAATAATAATAAATGTCAGTAAAACCTTCCTTGCAGAGCCTGGAAGGATTTCCTTTCCTTCTCTCTCTCTCTCTCTCTCTCATGCCAATGCAACCTTCCTTTCAGAGCATAGAGATTTCCTTCTCTCTCTCTCTGTCTCTCTCTCTCTATCTCATGCCATTGGATGGAGATCTCTTCTGCACAGCCCCCTTTCCCTTTACTATCTATCTATCTATCTATCTATCTATCTATCTTCATCACTATTTTTTGAAACATCAAAGGCGTATCACCTAGAAATGAGCCTCCAGGTGAGAGAGACCTTCCCCTTTGGATCCTTGTTGTTTTGAGATCTTGCTGGCCCTGGAGAATCTGAATCCTCCCTCTTTGGCAAATAAATAAGGCCCTTTCCTGAAGAATCATCCGAATCGTGACTCTCTCTTCTTTTTCCTCCCTCCTCCCTGTGTTTTCCTTCCCTTTTTTCTCCTGAGGAGATGCCTGGCTGGCGGAGAAGAAGGAGCGCAGGGACAAGGAGCGCTTTGTGGAGAAGCAGGACATTGTCCCTTTCCGGCTCCTCTTCAGCACTGAGGGAGGCAATGAGACTCAGCAGGATGCCCTCAACACCCGCATCGGGAGCAGCTTCAATGGGAGGCAGGTGAGTGGTGACATCTGCGTTGTCTCTATCTAGCTCAGGCATGAGCAAACTTGGACCCTCCAAGTGTTTTGGACTTCAACTCCCACCATTCCTAACAGCTTCAGGCCCCTTCCTTTTCCCCCTCAGCCGCTTAAGCTGCTGAGGGGGAAAAGGAAAGCCTGAGGCTGTTAGGAATGGTGGGAGTTGAAGTCCAAAACACTTGGAGAGCCCAACTTGGCCCATGCTTGATTTAGCTGGCACCTTTGAGTTTTCTGTTGCCCCGGAGACCACCGCTTCGGATGGGAGCATTGGCCGAGGCCGCATCTCCAAGGCCAAGGAGTTGGATGTGCCCTGCATAGGAATTGCAGGCCTAAGCAAGGAGAGATTCCCACACAATGGAGTTTTCCTTCCAGTTTTGCATTTGGAGCTACAACTCTGGCAATGTGTAGAACATAATTACAAGTCGTGTGACCCTCTTCTGCCTGTCCTTTTGTCAGCAAACACCGAGCATCAGCATCTCGAAAGGTTTATTTTCAGCAAGATGGCTTGGAGTTCTGGCATCGGCCGCTGGCTCCCTAAAAGCATTGGGAGCAGACCACAGGGTGTTTGGTGGAAGCTTTCCCAAACGGGTCTGATTAATGGCTATGGGAATAGATATGCCTTTAGGTGATTTCCTGAGCAATGTTCACCTTCTGCAGAAATTGGCCTAGCGTTTCTATCACAGGAGTGCTTCGTATGCAGTTTTGCTTGTTGAATTGTTATATTTTCCTCAATTCATGTTCTCTTGAGGAAAGAGAACATGAGGTGAAAAGTCAAAAGGATATCTGTTTAAAATTAGATTTTTACACATTGATGTAGGCCAGTATTTCTCAACCTGGGGGTCAGGACCCTGAGGGGGGTCACGAAGGGGTGTCAGAGGGGTCGCCAAAGACCATCAGAAAACACAGTATTTTCTGATGCTCATGGGGATTCCATGTGGGAAGTTTGAGCCAATTCTATCGTTGGTGGAGTTCAGAATGTTCTTTGATTGTAATGAACTATAAATCCCAGCAACTACAACTCCCAAAAGTCAAGGTCTATTTTCCCCAGGCTCCACCAGTGTTCACATTTGCGCATATTGAGTATTTGTGCCAAGTTTGGTCCAGATCCACCATTGCGTGAGTCCACAGTGCTCTCTGGATATAGGTGAACTACAACTCCCAAACTCAAGGTCAATACCCACCAAACCCTTCCAGTGTTTTCCGTTGGTCATGGGAGTTCTGTGTGGCAAATTATGTTCAAATCAATCGCTGGTGGAGTTCAGAATGCTTATTGATTATAGGTGAACTATAAATCCCAGCAACTACAACTCCCAAATTACAAAATCAATCCTCCCCCAACCCCACTAGCATTTACATGTGGGTGCATTGGGTATTTGTGCCCAGTTTGGCCCAGTGAATGAAAATACATCTTGCATATCTGATATTTACATTATGATTTATAACAGTAGTAAAATGACTGTTATGAAGTAGCAACAAAAACATGTTATGGTTGGGGGTCACCACAACATGAGGGACTGTATTAAGGGGTCACGGCATTAGGAAGGTTGAGAACCACTAATGTAGGCCATAATCATATGAAACACGTGGCTAACAAATACATAATAGTAGTAGTAGAAGTTGTAGTAATACTAATATTTACTATTATTTATTTTTAACCACCTGTTGTTGTTATTATTTGAAACACGACAAGATGAGTCCACAGCAAACAAGTTAACTCTGATGGCTGTTGTATTGGATCACACGTCTGACACTTCCCACTGTGTGATGTATTGGCGAATAATGCGTGCAGATCCCAGTAGGGTGGCCTTTTGCAGCTGGCAGATGGTAATCTTGTCAGCGGATTGTTTTTAAGTGCAGGCCAAGATCTTTAGGCACTGTACCCAGTGTGCCAATCACCACTGGGACCACCTTTACTGGCTTGTGCCAGAGTCTTTGCAGTTCAATCTTTAAATCCTCATATCGTGTCAGCTTTTGCAGTTGTTTCTCTTCAATCCTGTTGTTGTTGTTATAATTTTATTATTATTATTATTATTATTATTATTATTATTATTATTATTATTATTATTATAATGATCAGTCGTTCTCAACCTGTGAGTCCCCAGATGTTTTGGCCTTCAACTCCAGGAAATCTTAACAGCTGGTAAACTGGATAGGATTTCTGGGAGTTGTAGGTCAAAACACCTGGGGATCCACAGGTTGAGAACTACTAGTTTAGATCCATAAAAGTCATGCTACCCTTCTATTCTGCCTTGGTCAGACCACCCCTGGAATACTGTGTCCAATTCTGGGCATCACAGTTTAAGGGAGATGTTGACAAACTGGAATGTGTCCAGAGGAGGGCAACTAAAATGATCAAGGGTCTGGAGAACAAACCCTATGAGGAATGGCTTAAAGAGCTGGGCATGTTTAGCCTTCAGAAGAGAAGGCTGAGAGGAGACATGATGGTCATGTATAAATATGTGAGGGGAAGTCATAGGGAGGAAGGAGCAGGCTTGTTTTCTGCTGCCCTGGATGTGGAACAATGAGATTCTACCTGTACATTAGGAAGAACTTCTTAACTGTAAGAGCTGTTCGGCAGCAGAACTCTCCCCCAGCAACTACAATTCCCAAGTGACAAAATCAATCCCCCCCAACCCCACCAGTATTCAAATTTGGGTGTATTGGGTATTTGTGTCAGATTTGGTCCAATGAATGAAAATACATACTGCATATCAGATATTTACATGACAGTTCATAACAGTAGCAAAATTACTGTTATGAAGTAGCAACAAAAATGTTATAGTTGGGGGTCACCACAGCATGAGGAACTGTATTAAGGGGTTGCAGCATTGGGAAGGTTGAGAACCACTGCTCAAACCTGCCATGACAGCTCCCCTTTCCAAAGAGATAAACTCTGGTTTCATTCAGGTAGCTTTGACTCTTCAAGCGAGACATTCCCACTGGAAGAAGATTTCAGAAGAAAAATGCACAGCAGAATAAGAGTTGTTATTTTTGGATCAAAATAACTAAGGCCTTCGTGGAGGAAGAGGGAAAATGTTCAATATTGTTATATATTCTGCCTGTTCTATTACAATGATAATGGAACTCAGAGTACAGCCAGTGCAAGCATCTCTAAATGTACTTTATTAAATGCTTGCACTGGCTGTACTCTGAGTTCTTACGAACCCAATATCATTGTTCAAAATTGAGTATTTGTATGAATAGGCCTTACTGACAGCAAAAAGTAGAGGGTTGTCAACCAAGACCGAATCTTAATAAGGCTGTGTATCTTTAAAATTCACAAATACTTTTGCATTTTGTTAAATTTTGATGGCTTTTCCCATATTATTTTCTTATAGGGACTGTAACTAGGCAGTTCTTGGGTTCCTTGAAGCCCCAAGGTCCTTGGATTCGCAGCTTTCTCAATTGCCAACATTTTGTTCAAATGCTAAATGGAGAATTAGGCTCTCAGTATCTTCTGGGGTTTTCTTCCAGGAACCATCATAGATACAAAATGCATGGATGCTGCAATCTCATTATGATGTAGTAAAATGACACCCGTAATATAAAATCCTGGAAAATTCAAAAGAGTGCTGGAATCATCACTGTTGTCCCCCTCCCCAATATTTTTGAGGTGTGGTTGATTGATATGGCTGTAGAAGGGACGACTAGTGCTTCAAAGACGTTTAGGGCACAGATGGGAAAAACAAGGCCTGTGAACACCAGTTAGTGATTCCTGAAACCCTCAAACACCAATCATGTGTTTAAAATTTTAGGGTGATTTTCTGTTCCCAAACACCCTCAAAATGGGTGGCTGTGAGTTTTCTGGGCTGTATGGCCGTGTTCCTGAAGCATTCTCTCCTGACGTTTCGCCCACATCTATGGCAGGCACCCTCAGAGGTCGTGAAGTCTGTTGCAAACTAGGCAAGTGAGGTTTTATGTCTGTGGAATGTCCAGGGTGGGAGAAAGAACCCATGTCTGCTTGAGGTAAGTGTGAATGTTGCAATTGGCCACCTTGATTAGCATTTAATGGCCCTGTAGCTTCAAAGCCTGGCTGGTTGCTGCATCAAAATGGCTTAATGCTGCTTCAAAACAAAATTTTGTTACCGTATGCCCATGTATACCTTAAAAAGTATGTGTGTTTTGTTACAGTATATGATTTTGTAAGTCTTGACAAGAATCATCTCTTGCATATATGTGTGTGTTGAGGAAGAACCACTCCCTGATTAGGATGTATATCAGGTGAAGATTTCTTGATGCAGGTAGTGGGTGAAATGAAGTAATCAGAGATGGAACTATGCTACAAGGTTTGCTGGAAAGAAGCAGATTAATGCATTATTTTGTAAGTGTTTTTTTCCTTCTGCAATGGACAATGTGGACAATGTGTTTTCAAGGCTACTGTATTTTTCTTTATAAAGCTACATGTATTAACTACTCAAGAGTAAAGACATTTTTCTTTTATACTCTGTGTACTTCAACTTGAGGCCTGGAGCTGGGAAGACTGCTGTGTATTTTCAATATAAACTAACAAACCGCAACATGTTTGTGTGTGTGTGTGAGGGGTGGTGATGGTGGTGGTTAGAAATAGGCTAAAAATAAACCCAGAAGTGCTAGGACATCATTTCCAGTCACACTGGGTACACTGGTGTGGGCTAAAAGGAGATAGTAAAAGTTTTCCCTTGATATTAAATCCATTTGCGCCCAACTCTGGGGGCTGGGGCTCATCTCCATTTCTTAGCTGAAGAGCTAGCATTGTCCTTAGACACCTCCAAGGTCATGTGGCCGGCATTGGAGTGCCGTTACCTTCTCGCTGGAGTGGTACCTATTGATCTACTCACATTTGCATATTTTCAAACTGCTAGGTTGGGAGAAGATGGAGCTAACAGCGGGATCTCAGGCTGCTCCCTGGATTCAAACCTGCGATCTTTCAGTCAGCAAGTTCAGCAGCCCAGCAGTTTAACCCACTGTGCCACCGGGGGTTCAAGATACTGATGAAAAATA